AAAAACAGCCATGCCTTCTTCTTGATGCTTATAGCTTCTAAAATCTGAATTTAAATGCATAATTCATTGCTTGTGGAAATGTTAAGTGGCACACAGAGACAGCTCAAAATCAAGCAGTGCTTACTAAAAAGCAAAGAAGGTAAAGAAGCAGTTTATTAAAAACACACACACCATACCACTACCACCACTGAAAATGGGGATTTGGCCATTTTTCAGAATCTCACACCCTGAGGGCCTGTTCACACCTAATGCAGACCAGATCTGTAGGAGTGCAGTGCAGTCGGTTGTGCTGCGTTTTTGCCGTGTTTTTGAGGCATTCCAGCCCGTTTTTGGTTAACAATATATATATATATATATTTGTTTTAGTTTAAAATGGGCTTTCAGTGCATTCCAGGGCTTTTGCATGTGTTCCAGAGCAGGTAAAATAGGGCTTGCTGCAGTGTTTTTTACATGCTCTGGAATTGAACGCTGTAGTGTCAACTAGAGCATTGGAAGCAGTTTTGATCCGGTCTGTAACTGCTCTGCTCCTGGAACGCGCTTGGTGTAAACAAGTGCTTAATGGAGGGATTTACACACATATCCATGTTTAGGTTTGACACACTTAACAAATGATTTAAAGCTACTCCAACACATATACAATCTGCATTATTTATTCACACAAGTAAATTAATTAGTAATTTCTTCAGTTGGTAAATATTCTACTCATCTAGTAGAATAATCTAGTTTTATGCATAAGGCTTCATTTACACTGGCACTCCAGTGTTTAGCTTGAATAAATGCCGAAGTTATCAGGGATGAACAACTTTAACCCGTTCAAGACCCATGATGGGATAATCCCGTCACAAAGTTTGAAGGGGTTAAACAGAGTCTGTTCAGTTTTGTAGAGCCGGTGGGCAGCTTTACAGTAGAAGCGATTCGGGCAGGTCTGCCGCGAGATCGCTTCTATGATCCGGTAACCGGGTGAACGTCAATTCACCGATTTCCTCCCCGTTCTATGAGACTTTGAGTAATGCATATTGCATCACTTCCGGTCCCATTGCTGGGCTACTGAAGCCCAGCTATAAGCTATTAAAGTGCGATCTGCACTTCTATAGCTTATTTAGAGTGTAAAGGTGATACAAGGGTTTTTTGGACCCCCAGCATCACTTTAAAGAGTACCTTTCACTGCCAATATGCTATCACATGGGGGGCCTGTAAGCCCCACTGTGTGATAGCAATTAAAGTTTTTAAAACAGTTTTAAAAATAATAAATTAAATGTAAAAATAATGTAAAAAAAAGTTTTTTTTAAAGTCCCCCGCCCCCGCCCCAGCGAGCATGCACGTTGTCGCGTAAACACGCGTTGGGTGAGCCTACGTATGAAAACGACGATCGTGCTACACATGTTGGGTATCGCCGTGCACGCCGGAGTGAGACCAATAATTCTATTGCCAATATTTACACGTATCTCTAAACCGATAACCTATGGGGTCTTTTTCAAAGCGTTGTCTATGGACTTTTTGGGGTACTGAATTTTGTCAGTTTCACTGACACATACAATTTTTAACCTAGGCATGTTGTGTGTATCTATTTACTCATTGTAACCTCATCTTTTATATTTTACTAAAAAAATGGTTTTATATAGTGTTTTGGGGCACTACATTTAACAAGTGCTTTTTTCACAAAAGTTTGGGGTTTGATAATAAGTTGCGCTAATGTCGTGCAACGTAAAAATTTGCAACTGCCACCATTTTATTCTAAAGGGTCTTGGCTTTCAGAAAATATATAATGTTTGGGGTTTTAAGTAATTTTCAGGCCTAAAATGTGGATTATATCATGGCTGCAAAAAATGGAGAAAAAAAAGGCCTTTGCGCTTAAGGGGTTAATGCTTCCCAGATCACTTTTTCCTGCATTTAGTCACTGCTTAAAGTCACGTTTACATTTAGCCGCATTTACAGCTTCTAAGGGGATCCAGGAAGCATAGAATTCTATTGTCTCTAAACGCAGCCAAATGCGTTACCTGAATGCAGATAAACGCAAAGTCTGAATGATATGATTGAAAATCAACTGCATGTATTTTATTAGAAGTTTAGAGATGTTCTTTAAGCCCATATAAATGCAGGTTTGACACTGCCAGTACACATGAGGCCTTTGTATATTGAATTGTATGTAAACTCCACCATCTACAATTTACTCATAGTGGACCAATTTATATAGGTCTAAATTCATTTTTAAAAATCAACAGAGCAGCACTACAGGTCATTTTATCCTGTCTGTTGCAATAAACAAACTTAGTTGATTGAGAAGTTGGGTATCTCGTTATTACTTGCATGGTCTCAAGCAAAGATAAGTTTTATGTTTCAAATGGAAACTTTGCTGTAATTTGATATTCTTACACAAAATACACTAGCGTGAAATAGTCCTCACACTGCATTTTATTCTAAGGTTGGAAAAAAATATAGTAGAGACAAGAAAATATTGAACCAATTTAATCCTGCTCTACAATTGTTTTAGGTTGTCACAATACAGTTGTAGAAAAGACAGTAATCAGCAAGCATAGTAATTCTATCTGCTCATAATGCTGACAGAGACTCCAGAAAAAAAAAAATGTATGTGCATTACAGCCTCTTTCATCCTACTCATGAAAAGTTCGACAGACATAGCATTACATATCATTAGGAGAGCAGTCTTCCATAAACCAAAAAACCCTTTCTGAACAACTCTGAAAGAATGCCCATTTAATCAGGTCAGTAGAAAACAAACCTATATAATGCAGACCCATTCGTGTTGTTTAGTTCTAAATGAATGGTTTGTGTGTTACAAAACTAGAAGGTATTTCTTAGAATACTAATTAATTTCCTACCCAAGCTTCATCCCTTTCTCTTGGTAGTCTTTCTTGTTGCCAAAACAGCTTTCAATTTGTTCACACTGGCAAAATGCTACAACCCAAAGAACAAGGGTCAGCAAGGTCGACAAGGTATATGAACAAAACAGCAAAGGCACACTGAAGGGTGAGGAACAAGAGGAGGCTGTCTCCAACAAAAGAAGCAACAATGTTTGAACTATTTTATAGAAGAAAGAATAACATGAGCAAAAGTCAATGGAATTGATATTAATGTATAAAATGTTAGAAATTACAAACTTGGTACTGTATGAGAATGTAGAAATCAAGTAATATAATTTGTTAGCCCCAACAAAATCAATAAAATGAGAACCTTATTCACATAACATTTTGGATTTTTATGAAATGATTGGTAGCAAACAGAGCATAAAACCTACTGCCACTGTTTCAGTGGAATTATTGCTCTAAAAATTCAGTATATGTACAGTATCAGTAACAATGAGAATGCCAATTTACTGAAAGGCAGGGACCATAAATAAAATAGTTTGAATTCTGGATAGTATTAAATTGAGTCAAATTTAACTCAAATTCAAGTTCTATTCAACTATGTCGGATTATTAGGTTTACTATACAAAACAAATAAAAAAATTAACAAACAATTTTAAAGTATAAAAAATGCAAATGTATGCAAATATATAATGTTTACAAAGTCAGCATTATTAATATGATAGGTGGAATATTTATTTACCTTATAACAAAAATACAGATATAGGTTCTAAACCATATTGCATAGTTTTAATAGCATGCTTTGAAATATTTAGGACAAATCTTTTAAGGATATGACTGTGAAAATGTTTAAAAAATGGGGGAAACTATAGGGAAAATTCACACTATGAGAATTTTCGATATTTTTAAAAGTGTTTATTCTGAAATACACAAATGCATAGATTTTTTAGTTTGTTTTTTTACCAATTTTACTTTTAAAATGTCCTCTTATATCTCTAAAGATGTTCAGAGACATTAGATCAGGGGTGGCAAACACAAGGCCCGCGGGCCGAATCCGGCCCGCCGGACCTTGTAATGTGGCCCGCACAGCAGCCACCTCATTTTGCCATGTCTCATGGCCCTATGTCAGCGGTGGCGAACCTATGGCACGCGTGCCAGAGTGGGCACGCGGGGCCGTTTCTGCTGGCACGCGAGCTTTAGATGATCAGTGCGCAAATCAGGTATGTGGTGGATTGGGTGATCTTTATGTATACAGATGCCTTTAGATCATAAACAAGGCTGGTAATTCTAAAAGGTGCCCATACACCTACCGATTATCGTACGATAATCGCGGGTGATCCCGCGATTGTACGGTAATCGGCAGGTGTATGGGCAGCGTGCAACAACATCTACTGTATGGTCACACGACTTTTGACGAATGCCACATGGGCCAGTGTGCGCAAGCACACACTGCCTGCTCAGCATTGCAATAATCGGCAAGCCCTCCCCTCAGCGGGCTTGCGATGATCACGAAAGTACGAAAGTACAAGTACGAAAGTCGTGCAATGGTTGTAAGGTGTTGGGCCAGCTTCATATGAAAATGGTGTCTGTTTGGGTTGGATGTTCCTAGCTAGTTGAAACTCTTTCCCTGAGACAGAGTAGTGAACAAAATATCTACTACATGTAGCTAGTATTAGCATGCGTGTCTGTTCACAGATCTTTAACAATTTTGTTTGGATTAACATATTGTTTGCTTTAAAATAAGGGGGGGCGCGGGCTTTATAAAGTCCACGAGAGTAGAGCAAAGATTCAATATACTACAAGTGTATGAGTAAAAATGTTATACTGGTGAAGATTTACCTTTCCCCCGGATTACACCCATGGCATCTAGGCAAGGGTGGTGTCAATGCCAATCCTGTGAGATCCAAGGGAATGCCGAGTAGTGCCAATCTAGTGAGAACATGCTACTGCACTGTATATGTGTGTCATCTGGTGCAATTTGGGCTACTCATCATTCTCCGGGATCTCAATGGAAGCGTGGTATCACTCCCTGCAGTAAAGAAGACAGAGAAAGGGTATGTATACTTATTAATCTTTTTCCCCTACATGTTTTTTTCTATTTTAGTGCAGCATTTTGGCATGGGGCAGGGGAAATGTTATATGCTGAAATTTAGTACAGTTCTTCTTTAGGTGAACCCCTCTCCCCCGAGTCTTACACTTCTCTGCCCTTGCTCCTGCTAGATCCCTGTTGTGCGACCCACAGGTAGCCACACAGTAGCCACTTCCAACTATACTGACCCAGAAGTTTAGTTTGCGTCTGTGCAGAAAACTCCAATTTGGTCCTATAATATATACAGCTATTATGTGTCCCCATGGTGAGTAACTGCTCCACTGGAATCAATTGGATTTTGTCCATGCATATGCAGAAGGGGCAGCTGCACAGTCAGGAAAATTTGCAGTGGAGCCCAATCTGGCAAGACAAAGGACACTTAAGTATAAAATTCTGGGTGTGCGCTTAAGTGTAACACTACAGTTATTCAACTACAGTGGTCAAAGACTGCATTTAGGACAGAAACAATACTAGTGCTGCAACAAATTATTATTTTCATAATCGATTAGTTGGACAACTTTTTAGATTAATCAAATTTAAAAAAAATGAAATACCATCTGTTATTTAAAATGAAATACACAAAGTCAGTTTAATTCAGAATAAAAATGGCATGCACATTTTTTTTGCAATCGCACAGTATTGCAGTACCACAGGCTCCAGTGCGGGCAATCACACTGCAGGTGGGAGGCAGGTTTGGGGTGCCATTGAAATGGATGACACCACGACACACACACCCCACAGCAGAATTTGTCAGGCCCAAAACATAAATTACTTTTCCCACCTTATTTATATCTTTTTTTAATAATTGAATGCATTATATTAGACAGTTTTATTAGTTTCATGGATTTAAAATGATCTGAATTGTACAACTTCATGGCAATATAAATTAACCAACCTTTTATTTAAAGTAACACCAAAATTGGACAGAAATATAAATGATGTATATATATTTTATAAAAACAAGCTCAGTCACCAGTTTAGCATTAGCATTGAATATTGGCTCCAGAATTATCGCTCTCACTCTGGTGCACATGGCGATACCTGACATGTGTAGCGCAATAATCGTTTTCATATGTAGGTGCACCCAACTTGTGTTTCCGCGGGTCAGGGTACTTTAAACCTATAAGATCTATAAGACCCATAGTGTCACCTTTCCATTTCATAGGGGAATGACAGCCGCCTGCTGAGGCAGCTGAATGTAAACACAACAAGCAGAGGCTGGGAGCAATAGCCAGCCTGCTATTGAATATTTTAAATTGCAATAGTCAATAGCAGGCTGGGTATTGCACACAGCAGAGGAGGGAACTGAAGAAAGTTTTCCTTCAGGTCCTCCTCTGCTGATTGACAGCAGGCAGTGGGCGGGTGCAATAGCCAGCCTGCTATCGCCTATTGCAATTTAAAATAGCCAACAGCAAGCAGGCAATTGCTTCCAGCTGCTGGATGGGAGACTTGACGTCGGCTTTCTAACGCCGGCAGAAGAGGGGGCACGGGGCAGCAGTGGAGGATTGTGGGCAGCATCAGAGGCACAGGGCAGCTCAGGAGGTTCGCGGGCAGCATCGGAGGATCACGGGCAGCATCGGAGGATCACGGACAGCATCGGAGGATCACGGACAGCATCGGAGGATCACGGGCAGCATCGGAGGATCACGGGCAGCATCGGAATGGGGGAATGCAGAGGCACAGCAGTCTTTACTCCCCAGGGGACACAGACCGCAGTATGCAGCGGCTCCCAGGGAGGAGAAAGGTGGAGCAGAGCGGCGGCAGCAAATAATCAAAAAGCATCTAATCGATAGTGAGAAACATTGACAACCAACCATTCTCATTATCGATTAAATCGATTAGTTGTTGCAGCCCTAAACAATACTTTTAATTAGGGGACAATTGGTGGTTAAGGACATATCTTTTGCAAGATACAAAGGATTTAGAAAAGATAATTCAAGCTATGTTCATAGTTTATAACAGGCAGAAGGATGAACAAAGAATGATTGCATCATGGACAAAAAAACTAAAGTAATGGCAGTATGGGAAATAAAAGCATCTGTAAAGCAAACTAAATCATATCAACCAATAGCATTTTCAAATTAACGCACGATGTTGACACATCTGGCCACAATAGAGAGGAATATTAGAGCTGCAGCTAACGATTATTTTCAAAATCGATTAGTTAGCCGATTATTGAGTTCGATTAATCGGTTAATCGGATAAAATAAAAAATTTTAAATGGCTCTAGTGATGGGACTACTAGTTTGTATTGAGATTGCAGTCCATCACAGGAGCAAGGTTGGAGCGGTGAAAGTAAAAAAAAAGTGTGGTGTACAATATAGTGAAATGAAAAGTATAACATTATACAGCAATGAATGCAGAATGGCACCGGCTATAGAGGACTACAAAACCCAGCAATTGTACATTATAGCTGGTGGTATTCTAGTCCTGGTATACTATTGCTGGGTTTTCTAGTCCTCTATAACTAGTGGTATTCGGCATTGCACCACTGTATAATGTATTATTGCTGGGTTTTGTAGTCCTCCATAGCTGGTGGTATTCCGCATTGCGCTGTATAATGTATTATTGCTGGGATTTGTAGTCCTCTATACAGCGCAATGCAGAAAACCACCAGCTATATTGAAATACAACAAATCCCAGCAATACATTATACATACAGTGTATGATGTATTGCTGGTATTTGTAGTCCTCTATAGCTGATGGTATAATATACAGCACAATGTACCATCAGCTATAGAGGAATACAAATCCCAGCAATACATTATAGAGCACCATGTGGGGGAAAGTGCAGGCTTACCTGAGCAGTCTTCCAGCAACTTGCTTCTGAGATCGGTCCTGTCTATCGGCGGCTGTCATCCCACCACACCTGCTCCTCCTTACTTCTCCCCGGGTCCCTGTGCCGATCGTGGATGTGGGCGGGCAGTGAGAAGGTGCAGCGTGTGGATCGTGGATGCGGGACGGTCTGGCAGCAGCGAGCATGAGGTGGGGAGGAGGTGCGGCGCGCAGCGTGTGTGGAGCTGTGAACAGGGCCAACTAATTGGAAGCCGATTAATCGATGATTGAAAAAGTTGACAACTTTTTCAATAATCGATTATAATCGATTATGTCGATTAGTTGTTGCAGCCCTAAGGAATATAAAAAAATCTGTTAGCCAAAAGTAAAGGTTGCTAAATGGGTGTATTAAAATTAATTTTTAAAGCCCATCTCTGGGAATATCAATTGGCCTCCCACCTCTCCAAAACTTTTTTGTTTTGCATTCGGCCATCCGTGTCCCACACCAGCTGTTTCTGGATGTAAAATGGATGGTCCCCTTTTGATGACATCACCCTCTTCTGGATCCTGAAAGGACCCTTCCCCTGGACAGTCAATATGAAGTGTCCACATCAAGTAGGCAGTGATGTGGACACTCAAAGAAGGTCCCTGTACAGAGAAGATAGGAGACTCCGGACCGGAATGTCACGTGACGGCTGATTTAGGCAAGAAAAGGGGACATTTTAATTTTTCTGCTATACAAGTGATTAGTAAATTTTTACTCTATAACCTTTTAAAGCACAACTCTGACACTCCCCAACTAAACTACTGTAAGTATCTCTCAGTAATGTTTATAGGATATTCTGCAGCTTTTGCTATCTAATTACTGACAAATCTGTCTTAAAAAAATCACTTTTACAACAGCTACCGCCATTTTTAGGTTAGGCTAATCTTAAGATTCACACAGCCGCACAGGGCTATACACCGCCCAGGTCGGCATATTTATGTGGCGAGTATGGTCCTGTATTTAAATACAGCCACAGTTGCCGCTGTGCAATGCAAAGCAATGACACGCTGAATGGGTTCGAAGCTGTTTGCATGTTATCGCAAATGGAACAAATTCATGCGGTTAGCGACGGGAGCAGCTCTGGACGAAAATAGTCTGCGTACAGAGCCACTCCTCTGTCCTTAGCCGCATGTAATTGCCCCTACATGCAAACAGTGACAGCCTGTCATTGATTTGTACAAGTGGCCGAAGCTGAACACACACACACACGTGGCTGTACCCGCTGCAGACTCGCTCGTGTGAATGAGCGCTAATTGTAAGTTAAAAAGGACGCAAGAGTGTCAACTGGAATTGCTGAGACATGGATGAGATTAGGCGAAAATTACACAGCTATGCAAATAAATTTAAATTATTACTTGTAGTAATGTCATGAAGAAGGTGCTGTTTGACTAAACACAAACTGTTATTGAGACATTTGTAAAACATTTTTTATCCTGGGAAAAAAAGTTTGGTTTTAGAAAAAGATATTGTATTAAAATAGCTGCCATTTTTCCTTTCATTTACAGTATTTATATTTCAACAGTGAACAAAATACTTCCCATTTAGCATTATATTTAATGCCTCTAAAATAAAACACAGAACTCTAATTTTAATTTGCAGACATAAACCAGAGAGCAGCCTGTCCTCAAACAATTTTAATAACCTATTAAATTGCAACTTTGATTCATTTTATAACCAGGATCCTTTGGGATCCATTTTTATCAAGATAAAAGACAGATTTTTTAAATACTTTAAAGAGATAAATAGCATCATTAATCTGCAACATTTCTTTTCTATTATCTCAGAAAATGAGGAGTTATTTTATTTCGATCTTTAGGTAATTAGCCTCCACTTGCTGGGCAGAAAACGTCTGTGTTGTAAAAATTAAATGTGTGTCATTAAGTGGAATTTACTATAATGTCATTTATCTTTATATAGTTCATCAGTGACTGCAATGGGCCTGGGGATGCATCAGCTTTTGCAAAGGAAGCATTAAAACAAATTGAAAAACAGAATAATCCCAGACCCACTTCAACACAGGCAAGGCCATTTGGGTAATTAAATAGTGGTATTTAAAGTTTTAATTTAGATTCCCTCTAAATTCATCACCAGGCAAATGGGGTGTTCATGTTCACAACGATTTGTAATGGAAAAAAAAAGGTTTTCTAAGAAAAGCATTTTAATTAATGGCAAAGACTGTACAATTTTCCAATTTATCAGTGGGCACATATGCACCTTCTAGCACCTGATTTCTATGACAATTTGCAGATAGTGTATTATTTAATTATTTTTAATCTAGTC